TCAGCCTATCATCGAAGCCTATATAGCCTTGAGACGATATAAGTTTTGTTCTTGGTTTCTGAAGAGTGTAAAGCAGTGTCTGGTTTTCTGTTCGCATGATTTCAACACCCACATTTTATTATTTTCAAATTTAAAGGGTCGCCGTCGTCCAAAATAGGTCAACCCTGGAACTACCGGCTATGGATATGTAGCATCAATGAGTGACTCGCCCACTTTTTTGAGATTAATTCAAAATCGAATTTTTCTAGAAATCGGCCCCAGGAGTTATTGGACTGCTTGAACACAGATCTCACATTCGTTCACTCAAAAACGGCTGAAGCGCGCGCTCCGTATACTGGCGCGCCTTAACCTTATGTAGTGGCATGCAAGTTAGGAAAAATTTCGAAGTTATCGACCTCAAACTCATCCAAAAGCAAGTAGGGCTGACCAATGATGAAGGAATCATGTTTCACTACTGCCAAATAGTCAGTCACAAAAATGCAAAAGGAAAAACACGCGAGGGATCCGAACCACTGACCCGAAATCCCAAGCCCACCACCTTAACCACTAGGCCACCAGCACCCATGGAGGCTCACTGCTTCGTTCAAAGCCGCTGCTGCTGAGGCCGATTCCTCACTGTGTTAAACTGTGTGAGGGAACAAAAAACCTCCGTAACTCCGTTCAGCGAATCGTTTGGCAGATTTGGGAAGAAGATTCGAGATCAGCGTCCGAAACCACATACCATGATACTTGTCTCATTTCATATGGCCACTTCGACCCTTCATCCTTCCCTAGTTAAGGCAATGACTGACTGAGCACTGTGGGAAGAGGAGGGCGAGAGAGCACAATATTGAGGAACTGTCAAAGACCAACATGCTGCACAGGAGAAAAAATGAAGCGGTCGAAGCGGACTTTGCAAAGCTCTATTGTCCTTGTTTCACGCTTAAGAGTCGAGAGAACGGCAACGTCGAGATCTTCGTGAACAACTATTTACATCAAGGACTCATCCACCTGGTCTCAGCCTGGGTTGAGTCTTCAAGGACTAAGCCACCTCATTTACTGAGGGAAACGTCGCTGCGAGCTAACATCGAATTCTTTCTCGCCTATGCAGCTGCCTTTTCAGAACTCGCCCACACATAGCAAGGAAAAACCCTTCGTAATTGGTGTGACGTCGGAATTTTATTGAAAAATGCATCCAGTTGCATTTCAGAGAATTCTGGAGACGGGCTGTTGACACTTTCGCGGACCTCGACTTGCTAGTGGTCTTTTGATAAATGAACACGCTATTCAACATGAAAGGAGGATTTATGGAATACCCAACATTTTAGTGGTGCACTTTTAATTGCAGGAGCTGTTTCTGGGTCAAACGTGCTGTGCTTCTGTTGTGCCCTCATGAGATTTTGAGAACGAATTGTATGCCAACTGATCGTTGCTGGAGTTTGAATAGTGGTGACAACCGAGCGAAATATTGAATCGATTGGCGCTTGGGTGTTGTCCCCTGTTATTTAATCGTGTATATGCAATTTTTTGACTCTCGGGCCTGAGAGCGTGACAAGCACGCGGAATTTTTTCTTGGGAGAAAAACATTTCTTAAATTATCCAATATCGTCAAATCAAACAAAAAAGCTCAGTCGTCAGATGATAAATAGGCCCACTACTGCCCTGTTACAACCCCAGTAGAGGCCGAAATGGTCACAAGCAAACTCTTTTTCGCTGCCAACCCTCTACTATCGAGGTGAGACGAGGGTCCTAAATCACAAGAATTCATTAAGCATCCATTGCATATAACTGCTTGGCAGCCATTTGACGCCAGTGTGGGCTGCCGCACTATGCTCACTCGCGACATTCGCAGTAAACTTGTGTCTATAGGGGGTTATTTTGGGGCACTGATTAACGATTATTATGGCATTCTGTTTTTTGTCGTCGTGCTATTCAAGCAGCCATATTCCTCGCCGTTGTCTCACTGCTTATTTTGCAGTCAGATCCTCGACCAAGCCAACTAAGCGTTTGACTGAGAGAGAAGGCGCTCTCTTAAGTGATGAGTAAGCCACCCACCCAAAGATCCCATACACTTCAATTTCTGCCATGGTGCGTGGTTCTAAGCTTAATCCGTGGGCTGTCGAGTGAGAGAGTCCAGAAAAGTAGTAAATCAGCGTTAAAAAGCGCGAATGCCAAAAATGAATGTTCTATTCGTAATTGGGGCCTACATAACCCCCCGCATATCCTCAAAATCTAAGCTCATCGCGCGAATTTGATGAACAGCCGTGCGCCAATGGCACCAATTCGGCGCCGAGTGTACATAAGGACAATTGATAAGCATTTCCGTTGATCTATCCCTTTTTGGATGTTGCGCATTCTACCTCTCATTTGTACATTCGTAGTGGCGCTCATTAAATGCGATGAGGGTAGTGGCGCGGTGTCGCGGGCTGACTCACAGACCCAAAGGCTGCTGATCTCCCGGACCGCTCGCGTGGTACAGCGAGAAGCGTGCAACGCGTCATTACCTCACTTCCTGCCCCAGCGTGTAAACATGTATAGCAATTTTTAAGCAGCAGTTTTGCAGTCCCGTGTTCAACCACGATACCTGGACCATGAATTACTTTTATTCCTTCCCATCTTCGGCACAATTCAATTTACACTCGTCAGATATAGGACTTACCACAGCTCCGAGCTCAAGAAATCTAAAAAGGAACAACATGTCCTCGAATCAAAATAACTATTCCAAACAGCTCATTTGACAATGCAAGAACAGAAAGTATGACCGCAAGAGACCGGTAATTGTGGGTAAGATACCCTACAGCTAGTTCTTGTACGACAGTATGCTCAATTAGGATCGCGGTGTCTGCATCTACCACCAAGTAAAATGCAAAAGTGTCCTAAGTTCACTAAGATCATCTAAAATATAGACACATGCTATCATTTACCTTAATGACCGAGGTAACGAAAACATAAGGGGAAATGTTCATACCCAAACAGCCGAACTCTCAAAGGCTATCCGATCGTTGTCAATCGAGCGGACATACTGTTAGCCATACTCTCCTGTACATCGTACCGTTTCTGAGTCGCTATGCCATTGAGCCTAATTCGTTGCTCTTGTTATGCGTCTCCTAAAACTTGCGTCATGCGCAGGTTTTGGCTCGCCCTACCACTGTTACCGGCGTTCAGAAAGCGCGCCAGAGCACTAGCGCGATTTTAACAGTGAGTACAGTAATGGGCGAACGAATGGAACAGAGACGAGCAGTTCCGCGCCCAGCTCTTTCCAACTAGAAGGAATCGCGTAATTTCGTATAACTTCATATAATGAATGCTATTGAATAAGGCCGATGTCAGACTTTGCGAATCGCGCGATTCGCTAGCGTCTGCGGTCGCGTCGCGGCCAGTGAATCACTCAATTGGCTGGTACCGCAACGCGACCGCGGACGCTAGCGAATCGCGCGAATCGCAAAGTCTGACATCGCGCGATTCGCAATACGTCCTAGCGGAACCTCCACAACTTGAACTACCGTCAATCATCCTAGCTTGACTTGATTTCACTCAAGCTAATACGATCAGTTATGTTTTTCTACCCTCCCTTTCAAAAAACCAGAAGAGCGTCGAGTGCAGACCACACACCACAAGTGACGACGGCCTCCACAAAATGTAAATGTTTTCTGCCAATGAAATGATTAGCCTGTTGCAGTTGTATTCTATCAGTTCACTAATTACAACTATCATTTACCAAAATCAGCTATCACTATGAACCACTACTAACCAGATTTACTTGGAGGCCGTCGTCACTGTGGTGTGGTCTGCCAAAGTATGTACTCCTTGCTTCCCGAATTCATTCTACTGATACGTACTACACAGCCGCAGCTAAATTTTGGGTCCTTTGAGCTTCTGGCTCACATAAATCAAGCTATCGGCTTCGTACGTTTTTAACCAGAATACGATCTCAGCCTCCAATTTCTGTGTTGTAGGTATGACCAGACATACTTAAAGACTTCTGGGAGCAGGGTGGAGCTAAAAAAAATTCCTCATAATCCTTCCCCAGAGGCGTTTCAGCGTTTTGGAGGGTCGTTAACGCAACAACGAATACTCATGATAGGCTTTGTACTTCAGTCATACCAAACCGGACCATGAAAATTGAAATCCGCCATCCGGATTTTAGGTTACGCTTTTCCCACCACTACACATGGAGCGACTTCAACGTCTTCTATTCGACCTTGCTTATCTATAGCCTGTCTTCTCCTTTTAAATACAGGGCGAATTACCTACTCCTTTAAGACATCGAAATGGATTTTCTCACATTCTGCTCGTAACAGTCTATCACTAACTTCATTTATTTTCCTAACCATTCAATTAAATCGATCATCACTACATTGGGAATGTTCCTTTTGAGAAGCGACCGCAACTGTGACCACCAGCTTACTGCTTATCCTATTAGAAGGCAGTTTTAGGCTGTTGCACCCTTATCACCGGTAAACTAGGTCGCCATGGGGTGACTTGACAGAAACTTTTTCTAAGATTCCTTCGGATTCTCTATGGATTACGCCGTAATGTAAATGTAAATGGGTAGACGTGCTAAGTGAGATGTGACGAATAATTCAATGGGTTCGTGGTATTCAATACAGTGATTTCCTACGAACACAAGTCTTGGCCAATCCTTATAAGTGAGCTCATCTTTTGTGGAGGCGAAGGAAGTGAGAGGGGCGATGACCGATAGAAAAGACAACAACGGTCTTGTGGGTGAACAAAACGGTGTGCGTGAACAATTTTTTTGACCTGGATGGCAGGGGGCAAGGCGCTCACAAACGAGTAACAATATGCTACTGACGGAAACTCTTCACTTACTTGTTAGCAGCAACGATCGCGTTCACCACAAACGGCTCGAGAAGTATTGTCACGGCCCATATATTCATTATCTGAAATTCGAGAATATGTTTTCCTCATTGTAATGATAACACCTTTCTTAATAGATGGTAGTTGAAAGGGTGCTGCTTTTCAAGAGCATGGTCCAGGGACTCAATCCTTCACTGCCCCTTATATGAGCCAACCGATCCTTTCATCGCACGAGCTGGTCAATTGATAACGGACTCGTTTAGGAGACTTGTAAATCAAGTGAGACTTGCAATCCCTTGTAAAGCTAAATCTAACTCAAATTACCTCTACAATTCCGAATGGAGCTTATTCCGAAAAGGGAGTAATTGCCGATTGTTGCGCACTTTATGTTATTTTCATGATCGCTCCTGATATCGACTGAATTAAAGCAACACCCCCAGCAGAAGTCGTGTCGAAAATCTGTCTAATTGGTTGGCCAGAAGTAGCCCGCCGAGTATCCAAATGTGGCTTGCGGAAAGTTGCTTACAATGGCACTAGGGCAGTCAACAAGTAATCATTTAGCGAGCAATCTTAGCAATCGACGCAGCGTACTTCAACACACCATGATTTATGCGCGCGGATTGTGGCCCATAGCCGGCTAATCCAAATATGCGCGCGTACATGTACCATGGAGCAAAGCCGAGTTCGTACAACTCGTCCGGTCCCGCCCCTTCCTTTTCAAGGTAAATTCTCGTTTAGAGCACTGCGGTTCTCTTTAGTTCTTTTTTTATATTTGTCAAGCTCAACATTCAGCAATCAATAATCCCATCGGCATCTATGTGACCCGTAAAATTCGATCTGGAGTGTTGTTCGATGCAGGCTCTAGTTTTTCGGTTAGGCATTCTCGTTCCTACTGATTAAAATTACTGTTTTGTTTATCCTGCCCTCGACATGTGCTCACCGATACGGCACCAGCTTACAACGCAAAGTTCTTTGCAAATGGTAACGGAGTGCTACGTTCGATGTATATACACTTTTGAAGCCAATAAGTACGTTCCGCTCCCAAGAAGACGCAAATGTTTGAATTCAGGGCCATGTTTGAATGCGTTGATGGGGACACCGACAAGCAAACTTTATGGATGCTATGGTGAGGATCGCGGTGTTTTCGCTATCAAACTGTCAGAAAGTCTGTCCGCTGGGGGTTTGAAGGGTTTTGAGGCAAGGGAGCAACTGCCAGTTAACTACTGTTTGAACAAAAACTCACTTGCGTCATTACAAAGTGCCCGTATTGTCGTGAGTGTAACGTAGCACACTTGTTGAATCCAGCCGTATTAAGCCCAAGTAAGCTTTCAGCAAAGACCTGAATGACAACGATTACTGTAACGTTTCATATACAAAACTGCAAACAACTTCACTTACAAGAACAACAATGGCAGTGGTGTGATTTTCACGAGGGACGAAAGCCAAAATCGCAAAGAAAATGGAGGAGCCTCCAAGGGCAAGCGAATTGTACACACGAAGTTTAGTGGTTTCGTCTAGGCACCTGATAAATTGGTAATTTTTGCCTGTTCCAAGGACTTTACTGAACCTTCAGGACTCACTTCAACGCATCACTTGAAACTCCTCCTAGCAATTTGAGCATAAACTGAACTAAAACAGGAAGTGCTCCGAGGAAACCTGGAAAAGTAGAGCGATAATCTCAACGGTTGATAAACGACCACAAAACTCACTCACCAGTTTTGAGAACGTTGTAGTGGAGGTAGTCATTTAGGTACTGTGGATTAAACATAGCGACTAGCTGAATTCAAGGTTTACAATAAACAAAAAAAAACCAAAAATTATTCCAAATGGCCCAGAATTACTACTCACCTGTACAGCTAGCAAATCACCAAAAGCTGCTATCCATGCACCCCATAGCGTCTTGGACGACAAGATCGAACGATATGGAATACCACCGGCGTGCTTCTTCTTCTACAAATATGGAAGTAAAGCTTTGCGTTGAGTTACGGTAGCAACTAGCCAGGAACATCTTTCAGGTCGTGCCCTGCTTCTTAGTAACGATTAGTAGGGTACCGGTTATCCGACAGGAAGCGAGAGAAGGCAGAGACGCAGAGGGCCAGGGGACGAGTCGCAACACGTGCTGTGGCGATTTAGCGTCATTTTGAATAGAATGTACTATAGCACGTCCCACATCGCACAATACGCGCTGCAACTCGTCCACTGACCCGTCTGCGTCTCTGCCTTTTCGCCGCGCGACGGGCCTCCTGTTGAGTACCCTAGGGGCACCTGCATGAAACAGGGAACCATTGTTTCTTTTTCCTGAGCGGTCCTCTGAATGCCAAAAAAGGGATAAAAAGCCAAACCGACACCTTTTTGACATCTGTTTTT